TTATGATGTTAGGAGTTGGATGTCATGACGGTAGGAGTTGGATGTCATGACGGTAGGAGTTGGATGTTATGACGGAAGGAGTTGGATGTCATGACGGAAGGAGTTGGATGTCATGACGGAAGGAGTTGGATGTCATGACGGTAGGAGTTGGATGTCATGACGGTAGGAGTTGGATGTCATGACGGTAGGAGTTGGATGTCATGACGTTAGGAGTTGGATGTTATGATGGTAGGAGTTGGATGTCATGACGGAAGGAGTTGGATGTCATGACGGTAGGAGTTGGATGTCATGATGTTAGGAGTTGGATGTCATGACGGTAGGAGTTGGATGTTATGACGGAAGGAGTTGGATGTCATGACGTTAGGAGTTGACGGAAGGATGGTGGTCATGACGGAAGGAGTTGGATGTCATGACGGAAGGAGTTGGATGTCATGACGTTAGAGTTGGATGTCATGACGGTAGGAGTTGGTTGTCATGAAGGAAGGAGTTGGATGTTATGACGGAAGGAGTTTGATGTTATGACGGAAGGAGTTGGATGCTATGACGGAAGGAGTTGGATGTTATGACGGGAGGAGTTGGTGGTCATGACGGAAGGAGTTGGTGGTCATGACGGAAGGAGTTGGATGTTATGACAGAAGGAGTTAGATGTTATGACGGAAGGAGTTGGTGGTCATGACGGTAGGAGTTGGTGGTCATGACGGAAGGAGTTGGATGTCATGACGGTAGGAGTTGGTTGTCATGACGGAAGGAGTTGGTGGTCGCGACGGAAGGAGTTGAATGTTATGATGTTAGGAGTTGGTGGTCATGACGGAAGGAGTTTGATGTAATGATGTTAGGAGTTGGATGTCATGACGGTAGGAGTTGGATGTCAGCGAAGGTAGGAGTTGGATGTTATGACGGAAGGAGTTGGATGGTATGACGGAAGGAGTTGGTGGTCATGACGGTAGGAGTTGGTGGTCATGACGGAAGGAGTTGGATGTCATCACGGTAGGAGTTGGATGTCATGACAGTAGGAGTTGGATCATGTCATGTTGGTTGTCATGTAGGAGGTTGGATGTTATGATGGTAGGAGTTGGATGTCATGACGGTAGGAGTTGATGTCATGACGGTAGGAGTTGGTTGTTATGAAGGAGTTGGATGTCATGACGGAAGGAGTTGGATGTCATGACGGAAGGAGTTGGATGTCATGACGGTAGGGTTGGACGTCATGACGGTAGGAGTTGGATGTCATCACGACGGTAGGAGTTGTCATGACGTTAGGAGTTGGATGTTATGATGGTAGGAGTTGGATGTCATGACGGTAGGAGTTGGATGTCATGACGGAAGGAGTTGGATGTATGACGGAAGGAGTTGGATGTCATGACGGTAGGAGTTGGATGTCATGACGGTAGGAGTTGGATGTCATCACGGTAGGAGTTGGTTGTCATGACGGTAGGTGTTGGATGTGAACATTTCGAACCTTTAAAAGATACTTTTCTACTTCTAATAAACTTGCATATTCTGTATGAAGATTATATCAGAAACTGTTGGTAATAGCAGATATCCAGTATTGATGAAAACCTCAATAGCATAATCCTTCAACACAGTTATAGAATATTATTTTTAAATATGTACAACTGTTTGTGTCAGCCAAACAAAACCAACAAGTACGTATATAATATTTGCAGGCTGTTTTTGTACCCTACATTACATGAACAAACTAACTAAATATCATTTCACACTAGCACCCAACACTACGAGGAAGTAATTTGATCTTCAGAGAATATTGATATTTTTGTAAGTATTTCCTGCTACTTAGTGGGAATGGGCCTGTTAAACCTGTCGTCGATATTATGAGTATACCATAGTGAACACGCCTTCATGCTCGGTAAGGCCATTGCAGTTTGCGAACATTTCTCCCGTGTGTTTCTTTACGGTAAAACAATTTCTTACATGAACAATTAACCTCTTTCTTCGTCCTTTAAAGTGTGGTTCGATACCGTTACAATCTCACGCAATATGATGATTCGTAAATTGATCAAAAGGCGTTTTCGGCGCGCGTTTTTACATTTAGTGGTCCACACTTTGTGCATTAGTTATGTTGCGATAGTTAGGAATAATCGGTCATGTTTGTCTTTTTCTCTGCCTGTCACAAACATGTGGACCAAGAACACAGGCACATCAAAATGATCGAATATTCATTGTTATTCATTTGTCACTGTCTGATTTTTAATATGTTTTTAATGGCTACAACATAGGTGTTTTTTCTGCCATACTCAAATTGTCCAGGAAGCAAAAGGCACCCGGATTTTTAACTTGTATATTTTCTTTAATCTTTACAAAAAAATGCCTATATTATCCCAACCGGACCAAACACTGCCGTGAAACAAGGACTGGTGTTATCCCTCTCGACTATACCGTTACACTGTGTACGCATGTTTGACATCCTTTAAAAAGACTTTACACTGTTGTTGTACTGGCGTTGCATTAACGAAATGGAACTGTTTTACTACAGCGATAGCGTAAAGTAAATGTTTCACCTTTACAAATGGTAATAAGATGTAGGCCTCGTGACGTGAACAGATTTCCAGTGTCCTAATCCTATAACCTTATCTCTTTAATCGGGTAACTGCAACACTAAGACCACGACCTTTACAGTTTGACGGCATAACTGACGTACAGATGCAAAAAGTACAAGATGGATATAAAACCGTGTCCGTCTTCAAATTTTAGGCTGTCTGCTGGAACCTTCCTGGTGGCACTCCGTCTCGGTTGTAGTGGTTGCTGTCGGTTACTGCCACGATGTTGGTCTTGATGTTGCTGGTCCCCTCTCTGGTCATGTCCAAAGCAGATGATGTCTGCACGTATCATTTCGAGGTTCCAAAGCCTGCTGCGGGATGTGCTGAAGGGTCTACAACACTGGAAGACAGGGTAGCCCGTTTGGAGAGTATGATGAATGTTGGAGAAGCGGGAGATGAACCTGCGCCGTTTTCGCTGCTACAGAAGGATGTGAAACACCAGGAAGACGAACTAGCATTGCTGAAGAAGACCGCAGATGGGCTGACAGACAAATTATCGTATCTTTCGTCTGCAGCAGTGCTACAAAGTAAATTGGACGAGGCTATACATGGCATCAATACCGTTATCAGCAGTGTTGGAAGTACCAATGAAATGAGGCTTGGAAACATGACGCTTGCTATACAGGGCTGCATCCAAAGCCAGACCCAAATGGCTCAGTCCGTTCAGAGTCAACTGCAAGGATACGCGGAGAGGTTGGGAAAGTATTTCCAGAATCTGATGGATTTGAAAGAACACTTGGACGAAATGGACGATAGTGAGAACACTTCTAGTATTTCACTTGTTGCCAGCAGACTAGAAAGCGTTACAGAGAACCTTTATGTTAGTGTTGGCGTAAACAAGGCCCGGTATGAAGAACTGACCATAAAAAGAGAGAAGTTGGAGCACGATGTGTTGAACCATACAGATGCCCTGAACCACTTAGTGGAAGATGTCAGGGGAACAGTGGAGCATATCCAAATCATGACTGACCAAGTCGAGGCCCTCCGCGACAAGGCGAAGATCTTCGACGACTACATAACACCCGAGATACAAACTCTGGAGAGTCGAATAGGTGAGACACAGGAAGGACAAGAGAAGCTTTTCGCAGAAATGGAAATCGTTGGAAGTGAAGAGATGAATCTGACATCAAGCAACCTGCACAATGATGCCATTGTCAAAGACATGCAAACTGAGCTGGACCTCCTATCGCATCGAATCCTGCAGATCACAATGGGAATTGGAGACCAGTCTAGCAAGGTTCATGATCTTAGCAATCTGGAGCAATATGGTGCTGTAGACGACATACGAAACACACTGATACATATCAAGCAGAATGTATACCCAGCACTGAGGATGGAGTACAACCAGTTAATGGAACTCAAAGGCAGGGTTGGCACCATACAGAAGATGTTCAAGAACCATGTTCAGATGTCAAGAAACAACACCATTGCCTGCCAGACAGAACAAGGTAGAGATGAAAGCAATGAGTTGACACCGGATGTTTCTTCGTAACTGAACATGGACTATGGACAGATGCTTGCTGAAGGACATTTAGTTCTAAATATACAATGGTGATGCCCAATATCAGATATGTTGGGAGCAATAATTTCTTCAGAGGATGTGTTGCTCTGGTCATGTGTCATTACAAGTCATCTCATTCTGGCAAGACAAGACAGTGTTTTCATGTCTAACACGGGTTTGTAATCAAACACATGTATATGGTAAAATATGCCTGTATGAAAGTAAAAAGTCAAAGCCATTAAAGTTCTCTATTTTGGGTTTACATCTTGTCATGTCGATGGAGTGAATAGTGTTTGCATCTAAACCAAGGGTTGATACAATGAGCATTTATCCATGTCATTTGCGAATAATGAGACACATTCACACATTTCTAATATCAGACAAGTATAGACATGCTGGGATCCTAATCTGACCTGGAATCCTCATATGTGTTCATGGTAGATGTGTTATGGTGGCTGTTGTGAATGTGAATTTGGTTTAATGCCAGTTATGACAATATTTCAGTAAAATCATGGGCTTAATGTGGGAAGGAAGCCCAGAGCGATGTAAGTATTTGAGATCTACCACTTGGTGAACAGTCGTATGTTGCTGCATTATCATCATCCAGGATTCCCGACCATTTCATGTCTCCTGGGCCCCGTTTCACAAAGCTCTAGTACGCCTAAGATCTCGTATCTTTTCTCATAGCATTCATACCTCCTATACTGTAACAAGTTACAAGATCTTAGCCTTACGAGAGCTTTGTAAAAAGGGACCCTGGTATATTTAGGAAGCATCCAACCATCCAGGTACTAATTTCTCAGGTTTCATGACAAGCATGGGGCCTGCAGATCAACTCTGTTCCTGAAGCCCTATTGACGACACAGCTGAGTACTCAGGTAGAGTAATACTGTTCACTGTTTGGATTGAAGGACAGGGCAAACAAATGATCACGCAGAGAAAACAGTTGTAATATTTATTTCAATCACACTCCATACATCAAATAAATGTAAAAACTGACAAAATAGCATAAACCTAACACCTCATAAACACACTTTCACTGATTTCTTTTAATTGTCAAAGGCAGGGTTGTAGAAAATTGGGCATTTAAGAAGAAAATGTTTACCAAATGTTTAGAAATATCGCATCAGAGAACGGGTTGGTGCTCAAATATAAGTGATCTATCAATTTCAGCCGTAATTATTTTACAGAACAAATGAAGTCTGAAAACACCCCTTGTAAATTTGGAAAATTATATATTCCAATTATTTTTTTATAAATAAAAGGTCCTTTTTCACTTGGTACATATATATGTAAGTCTGCCATTTTGTAAAGAAATGTTGCCATATTCTCTGGGGTGTGAGAATTGAATACATATTTCAACATATCATACAGATGTTACCATAATCAACGTCCCATAGCTGTGAACCCCTCTCAATTCAACTCTGGACTTGTAGCATCTCCTGTGAATGAGAGGACTGTCCCTTGCACTTCAGGATCAGTAGCAGATCTAAAGTACTGCCAATATTCATTTTGGACAAATGACTCCCGAAAACTTGTAACATGTTTGTTTTGACTACAAACACTAAATATACATACATACAGTGTCTGTCGGTTAGAAATACAGCCCCTAGGAAAGCGGTTTTGATAGCTACAAGTCAATCTGACCAGTAACATATTTGACCTTTTCAGAACTTACGTAACCCACATTGAAGGTATCAGTCAAGAGACACACACCATTTAGTATGCAGGAAAACAATAGTATGTGACCATGTTAACCTGAGTGGTGTCAAAAGATGGAGGAAACAATTTCTTAGTGTTAGTGGGCACGAGATACAATAGTAACAACCATATTTTGACGTATTTTTTTCCCACTGGACATAACAGAAGATGCCATATTTAGAAATGTTTTCACAATAAATATAATTAAAAGATTAAGGAGATAATCATCAGACTTTGAAGCTCAGTTTGATGTATCAAAGACAAGAGAAACAATAATGCCATGTATTATTTGAAACCACAGTATTTCAAATAAATTCAATTAATATCATCTGATTGAAGTTCGGATTTATGACTCAAAAACTAAAAAATGCCATACATTTTTAGAAACCACATTAGTTCAAATAAATTCAGTTACTATCATCTGACTTTGAAGCTCAATTTCAAGACCCAAAGACTAGAAAATCAATAATGCCATACATTAGCTGAAACCACAGTACTTCACATAAATCGAATTACTTTCATTGGTTTTCTCTTATTGAATTAAACAATATGATATATATGATCATGATCGTGAAAGTCAAACATTACAACCTAACCATCCTTCCTACATCCACACACAATATATTCACCATTTAAACATAGTCTCTCACTTCATACAAGTAAACAGAGTCCTACATCAAACCACAATGTAATGGATAAACACAATTCATGGTAACCGGGTCTAAACACCTCTGGATTAATTATTTCAGAATACAATTGGTGCACAAAGAAGTTTAAATACTGGATGTATAAGTAAGCATTCAGCATCTGCTCAACACCATAAGTGCCCCCGTGTCTCACCTTTGTTCAATCATCACGCAGGAACTTGACTCACTCTGTCCTGGGACACGCACCAGAAACTAAAACACCTCAAGCCACATACATTATTTAACCTGCCTCCACCATAAGCCAGCTGTGGGAATGTTTCTTTAAAAAAACTGAACAAAAAACTCAAATCAACAAATTACATTTCAACAAAAACTGTTGTTGTGTTTTTCAAGACCTGAATGTGCATTATCAATTATTGAATAGAGTCTGTACCATTGTTGGAACATTCACATGTAACAAGTAAACATTAAGTCATGAAAATGCTTATCATAAGGTTGAGATAAAAACAAAACAACAATGAAAGGATACCCATACCCATATATAAGAGGCACAAGGCTCTGTAGCTCTACTGACTCATGAGTGTGAGTTTGGTTTTTACACCACTTTTAGAAATATGTTCAACATTCTACAATATTGGGATTGTCTTATACTCAACCTTTACAGCATATTAGTTGGTGGCACCAAAGAAAACAGCCACTGTCAGGTTTTGGAAAGCTATAACTTAGACGGGTTGTCTGACAGACAAGGTTTTACACACAGTTGTCCTGGATTAAACATTTCTTTGAAAAGAAATGGTCTGAGCAAGTTTAGGATGACTGTCTATGCAGTTTCACTACCTTACACCTTGTGACATTAGAGGCTGGAAGTGCCCACTAACAGTAGGCCAGCATTTTTGCCAATTTGACAAGTGAGCTACCTAACCCTATTATTTGTCACTATTTGTAACCAAAGGGAAAGCCTGATGTCAGTGAGATAGAGTCTGGTATGTGCTTATAACGTTAACACACATTTATCGGTAGGTCATATCACACAAACGGCAGTATTTCTTGTGTAACATGTGCATTTACCTTGCAGTCATCAACTATACATATTGGTTTAGTAGTTCATATAGGCAGGGTTCACACACAATTAACAGGAAGACAGTGAAATGTTTCATTCATAATGGATAAAACAATACAGTCAACTACATCAAATGTATCCATGGTTGATGGAGTGTAAAAAAGTCTGTGAAGTACTGATGATGAACTACATTGAACACTAAAGGGGATGGTAAATAAACCTTTGTAAGGACGAGGGTTTGTGAAGAATAGTTACTGAAACAGAAAACTGTTCACCAAAAGAGATAAAAAAAAAATTAACTCTGAAACAAATTTATGTGTCAATTGCTGTACACTGAAGTACACTGGGAATATATTGTAGATGAATATTGTGATTAAAAACATCATAAAATGATTGGTAAAGTGTATCAAAAGGTTACAATGATTCCTGTCATTCATGAGGTCACATTCATAAAGTAGATACACAGTGCAATGAACATGATTGGTCAGCCTCATTAAGGATGAAGAAGGTGGCTAGCACAGAGAATATTGAACACAGTTGGATTTGGCTTTCAATTCACTCTGGACATCTGACAGGTGATTGACAGCTGTCACTCAAGCTGTTTTCAGTTTCTGAATTCCCAGTTTCTTCTTCCTCTGGTAATACATGTAGTTCATCATTTTGTACCCAGCTGAAACAAACACAACCAGTAATGTCAACCCCCTCCTCTTAACTGAACTGAACTAAAGGATACTATGGGACCACTCATTTTAGCTCATTATCACTGTTGTTCATTATAGCACTTTGTCTACAGTATGAAGCAAATGATCAGGACCAAAAAACAGTTTGTCATAACTGTAAGTTCTTTAAAAGTGTGTTCAAAATAAACACAGTTTACTGTATCTTAGAGCTGATGCTGTAAATAAAGCTACTGACAAAGATGTTTAGAAATTTAGAGGATATAAGTGAAAGGGAGATAACCCTTTAGTCCCGATGAGCTAAATATTCTTCTTATTCAATAAACAGAATATTTATTGTAGTGAGTTGGGTTTTACACCGCTTTTAGCAATATTCCAGCATTATCACGGCAGGGGACACCAGAAATGAGCTTCACACACTGTACCCATGTGGAGAATCCGGACCTTCCATGTGTTACGAGAGAATGCTTTAACACTGGGGTACCTCACTGCCCCATTAAACATGCAATGTCTATTGTGGTACAATACATGGTAGGATGAACAGGACCAGAGATATGTACTCTAGCATGTGACTGCCAACATCTAGCAGGCAGCATGGGTTTACGACGGGTTGAAACACATGCTACTCACCTATCGCCAGGACAAGCAGGTACGTATGTAGGAACCAGGGGAAGTAAAAACCGAAGTTGACCGAGTTTGGTAATGTAACACTGAACTTTCCTGTCTGCTCAAACAGTGGGATGGACATAATAACTATTGTCCCTGAAAAACAAGTGATCATATTTAATATTACAAACTACTGAGAAAGCACATTATTATTCATTACCAAGAAATCATCAAAGATCAGAATACCCTGAATATAGCACTACACAAACACTACACCAAACCACATTCTTAAAAGATCTGTATGTGATGGTGTGCAGTGCCCATGCAGGGACATTAAAAACAAATATTTATTTAGAGCTCTAGATATGTCAAGGCTACTTGTAGTGCAGTAAAGACCAGACTAAGCCAAACTTGTGATGAATGACATGAACATTGATCTATTTCACCACTTGTACAGTCACTGACAGCCAATCAGCTTGGATAGTGCTAGTCTTGTCTTTCCTATAGTCTGCCACAGTTTTGTTAACATTGATCTATGCCATTAGCTGTATGGTCAAGTTTCTTTTGTATAAAAACTGCTTTCTCTTATTAGTCCCACAACATATAGTTACCATGTGGACAATGATAACACCATAAAACAATAAACAAGGCTGGACCCAACATTTATGAGCGATATGACACCTTTATCACATTCCTACCTTCAAAGAGAAATCCAAGCGGATAGAGAGGGATCCACACAGTGTAGCGCATCCAACTGATGAATTTTACTTCTACATCAAGACTGCTCAGCATGTAGAAAGGATACCTAACAACAGGTGAAAGGAGCATGCGATGTGACATAATGTTAATCCCATCATGTCGTAAAACACGTTTACATAGCAAAAGTGCCATCATTCAGACAACAGGGTCCTTAAGTGACCTCACCATGTTTTGATTGGTCTGTACTAGGGCTGCAGCGAATACACTATGTGGCGAATATGATACGTATCATGAATATTGGGTAACGAATACGAATAATTATTCACAAATACAATATTGTAGTTAAGTGATTGCAATACGGAACGTCCATGTTGACAGTTTTGATTTGTCACAGCAATAACCAGTGATCTCATGACACTCAAATTTGGTATGTAATGGTTATAGTCAACAGTACCATGTGCAGAACCTTGGCAAACTAACATGACTTGTGCTACTGCAGTGCTAGTACATATTCAATCCTTGCATATCTCACTTTCCAAAAGTACACAAGGGTTCAAGTAAAACATGCTCCCTTAAAAAAATCGTAAATATACGTTAATATTCGGTTCTGGTGACCATGAATAACGAATTGAATTCATGAAGGGCTACTGTTCGATTCACCGAATATACGAGTGAATCGTTACAGCCTTAGTATGTACTCCTTAACATTTATGCATGTGATAGTATGTATCAGTTATCACACACCATTATGGGTGAGTGAGTTTAGTTTTACACCGCTTTTAGCAATATTCCAGCAATATCAAGGTGGGGGACACCAGAATTGTTTTTGTCCCCATGTGGGGAATCGAACCCGGGTCTTTGGCATGATGAGCGAACGCCTTAACCACTAGGCTACCCCCTCACCCCCCAACCCCGAAAAAATGAATGGACAATGCCTCAGATATAGTATATGAAATGGGCACTCCAATACATACATTCCCTGACACCCTAGATATGCATGTGCACCATGAGACAGAGCACACAAACAGTTCAGCTTATAAAATCCTGCACACTGCCAGAGACACATGTAAGTAATTTATCATTATGATTCACAGGGTACAAAACATATTTTGGGTTAATATATCATGGTCAGTTAGCTTCATGTGGGGGAAAAGCTCCAAGTGATACCTGTCTCAGGTGATGATCACTTTGGCCAAATCAAGCAGCATGGATATGGTGTTGACACAGGTAGTAAGATTAAGAAGCCACACTGATAGGTTTCTGGTGTGCCTTGAAGGATGCTAACCAGCCAATCACACGACCAGCTTTTTTAACTAAGGTAAAGGTAATCTCCACTACCTTATCAGCTCTACTGCACTCCACACTAGGAACAGGTACCACACAGCAGGGGCACTGTGTAGCCGAGGCTCTTGGAGAAGTAGTACAAATAAGATGAGGTTTCTGCCAAAGACCTGCAGTTAAAATTAAAAAATTGAAATCAGTTATTTGCCACTGGGATCTTTGTTGTGGCTCAGCAACATTCCAGTTGTATGACAGCAAGCTGTAACTATCAGTCAAGACAAACCAGTGATTGGTAGAATCCCCTGTTCTTCAGGGCTTCGATGACATGCAGTCAACTGTAACTGTGTAAGACCACCCCATACCTTCAGTAGCCATACTTCAGCGAGCATAGGTTCCTAGGTATTGTAACAAAGAACGATCACTAAAGATTTTTGCACTTTTCTAAGATTGTACAAAAGAAACATTATTAATGTCTCCTTTGTAACTCATTTTCACTCCAAAACAAAAACAATTAAATGTTTGTATGTCACGGAACTACATTTGCACTTTGTTCATGCTGAACTATCTAATTATACAATCAGTGAGTGAGTAAGGCTTTATGCCTCTTTTAGCAGTATTCCAGCATTACCACGGCAAGGGACACCAGAATTGGGCTTCACACATTGTAACCATGTGGGGAATCGAAACCTGGATCTTTGTCAAGATGAGAGAACACTTTAACCACAAGGCTACCCCACCACCCCACTGTCACTTTCAGATATGACAACATTACACTGCAGTTGGATGATAATTACATTTGATTCTAACATAAGGCTGCCTACCTGTGCTAGGGGAGCAAAGACGCCTGATTTGACGAGACCAAGCATTGGGTGTACGACCTCCAGACATGCTACAGCTTGACATACCATCAGCTGGACACCAACTGCCTCAAATGCATTGTGTTTGATCTCTGAAAAACATGGGAAAGGTCTCAAATCAACATGCATCCACTTATAGGAAGCACTAGTGACATACCTTCATGGACTACATTTCTACCATTAAGTAGAAGAGAACTCAGATCATTTATTAAGATCATAACGATATATGTTTAGAAGACTACTACTAGGTTGACATAATATGACTGTGATAAATGGACATGTTAAACGGCTGGTGCAAGCGAGATCGCTTCCTCAGTACATGCAGTAGCAAACATATGATTTTACAACTGCTTCAAATAGGATTGGTTAAGAATTCCCTCCCTTGGTTCATTTCAGAAAAATCTTTCTTAATTAAAATGCTAATCAAACATCAAACATCTTTCTTAATTTCATTTTTTTTTATTTTAGGTCTCATCATTTTTACTGATATTGTCTAATGAGTCTTTACCAACCCACAAATATCACTGTCCAACATTTTCATAACAACTTTGGAAATGATTCTTTTCTTTACTGTTCTCTAAACCACTGCCTCTCTGGCAGTTAGAAATAGGAGAAATATTCCCTAACAATATACAGGAACTGCATAAAGTATCTGACAACTATAGTCGACATATGGTGATTTAACTTTGACATCAGTCGATTTCATGCACCCTTTGGTTGATTTTGATAATGAAAATCATCCTTTTTCGAAAAGAAGGATCTTGTATAACATGCATGTGTCATGTAAATATTAGGAAACAATTTGATTACAAAACTGTAACTATCACTTTATAACCTCCCTGCTGTGGTGCCCACATTACACCATGCTGCAACTAGTAATACTATGATATTACAGCATCACTAATAAAGAAAAGCATCTTGATCCTGTGCAGAATATGAATCAAATTAGTAATCCTTGTTTATTTTTTTTAATAATGGTTATTTCAAAAGCAATAAAATGGGTTCCCCATTCTAAACTGTTCTGTAAAACACAATTCAAATTTCAATTAAGGTATTACATATTTTGCGCATAAACTGCTTTTTCAAATTCTGTTTTTATACAGTAAACTTTAATTGACTGACATTTACTGAATTCAGATAGAGGTCATTTAGACTATGAAACAACTATAAAATAAGGTGGTCACCACTAGTGTTGGGAATTGGTTAAAATCTCATAATTGATGATTGGTTCATTAATACCGATCAATCATCAAAAATAATTGGTTAGCATCATTTATGAAATTTGTTAATGCACATAAAAATAAGGTAAAAAAACAAGTAGTTCTTTGGGGGTTTTTTGGCAAAATTTCACATCTTTAAAGGATGACTAGTATGTTAGTAACATAAATTTCTTGGAATCTTTAACATAAATTCAATCGTGACTTGTAACGAGCTTGTAGTGCTTACGAAATGTAACAGACAAAACCAACCTAGTGAAAAATATTGTTAATATCATAATTGTTAATGAGAAATTGTGATCGATTGCTTGGTCGTTTAGTCACTATGACCAATCTTCGATTATTTCAATTAATCGGACCACCACTAGTCACCACATAGGACTTACTGAAAATTAAGCGGTGTACATGAATTGACATGACAATCATGTCCAACTAGATTCAAAATGAAAGGATTAAAAATTCTACTCAATTTAAAATGATTTGGTTGATCAAAGTTTATTATCATTGTCATTAAAAAAATGTACCTTACCTTCATGCTTGAACGTGTACTTGATAAATGTTCACACAACTACACATTCATGGCAGGAATATTTAGAGCAAAGTTGATAAAGTTTCTTTGCTCACGTTTTATCAACTTTAATAGCCTCAGTGAAAATGTTTAACTGATGACACATCTAACTGCCCATGGCTGCTTTTGTATTTTTTCTGCCCTTTAATCTATTGTATGGCCTTTTCTTCTCATGTCAGCTGATTGCTGTTGAAAAAAGTCTAAAATTGGTCAGCGGCATAAATAAAACTGATGGGCTTATGCTTAGTCTTTGATGATAAATACTTTTTAAAGAAACAAACAGCTTTATTCAAACTGAAAAGGAGTCCCAGTGAGATGAGTGATTCATAACCTGAGGAAAATCTAGACTTGCATCATTTGTGCTTGTGCATTAGGAAAAGGACCAGACAGAAGTGTGAATAACCAAACTGTCTGTTATTCAGATTAGTTACTACTAGCCCAAGTCAACAGCCTGAGCATTACAATATCCTTCTCGTCAGTTTGACTCTTTCATAGTTAAGTGACTCTGGAAACAAAGGAAAGCGCTCTACTACTACACCGGTTCCAAACATCCTGTTTCAAATGATGACAAATGAATAAGGATGCTACAGCAGGATCCAACAAAAGCATCCACATTGTGTTTAAAAAATAAGTGGGATCCAGTGTCTTTGAGGTCTACTGCCACACCATTTCAATCCAGGACCCTACAAACATTTGGGTTGTGACAGAGAATGCGTGACTTCCATATTTATTTTTCAGATGCTGCTATTTGTATATGTATCTCATTTTCTAGTTCCTTCTCAACAAATTTAACTGTGTACAGAAAACATTTTGTAACATTTTGAGGAAGTGGTGCTAACTGACAGATTGCTGGCTGATGGGAAAAGGCCTATGAAATAATTGTTAAACTCACATTGTCAAAGCATATAGAAATGATTTTTATTTACAAGGCTGTAACAAGTATATAACTTCCTGATTATTGAATATGTTGAAGTGTGATCATGTCACAATCAGCTGTATTTGCTTGTATCCCACCCCCAAGACATACACTGGCTCAACACAGGTGCTTACACCTGACTAATGACAGATTGGGCATGCTTGACCAGCTCTCATATGACCTTCCCTCTGGCAAAAGGACAGCCGTTCAAACACCATGACACTGACCTTGGGTCATTAGAGCTTAAGAAACTGGTCTAACATGGGCAGTGTCCTTACAGACTGTTCCTTTTCATCCTATGTTATGCCCTGATGAATATAAATTACTATTAACTTAGCCATTTGATCACTCTGCTTCCAAAATGATCCATATTTCTTTCAAACAGATCTAAAACCTTATATGTCAACAAAACAAATTATGCCACCAGCTAAATATACAGCTATTAAATGAATGTTGCAAACTGAAGTTGAAGAGATGAATTGTTGCCTTGAACTTCGTAGATGTAGTAATTATTACCACATTAACCCACATTGTAAGGTATGATCGAACTACTGCAATATTATCATATTGGGAGATGTCTAATGATTTCTAGAAGATCAGAGGTAAAGCTCAACTGACATAACCCAATTTAAAGTAGTGCAAGATATCAGCAGTCATAAACAGTGAGTGTAGTTACATACAGCTGACAACAATACTCTAGCAGCAATAGAATATGAGCCAGTAAGACAGTGTGATATCATGAGTAATTTTCAACATTGCTGAACGATGACACCACACCCTGGACACACATTGTATCCACTCTTTCCTCATTCAAGCTTTCTCCTGCACTAGGCAAGACAAAGACATCAGAGAGCTTCTAAAAGCATAGATGGTTTGTTGTTTTATACTGCACTCAGCAATATTCCAGCTATATGGCTACTGTTTGTAACTAATCAAGTCTGGACCAGGCAATCCAGTGATCAACAGCATGAGCATCGTTCTATTCAACTGGGATACATGTGTCAACCAAGTCAGCGAGCCTGACCACCCAATCTCGTTAGTCGCCTTTTACGACAAGCACAGGTTACTGAAGACCAATCCTAACCCGGATTTTCATGGGTCTAAAAGCATAGACTGAAACCCTCAGTCTAATGTGAATTACAACATACCTTCTCCGTATCTGAGGAACTTGTACAGTAAAATGACAGTCACATATGAGAATCCAATAAACTGGAATAGGTTGTACAAGAAGATGTAGGACAACTTGAACTTCAGTGGTTTTGCTGCAAGAAAAAAAAGCAAAAGCATCTGAAGCACCAATCCCTTCATCAATTATCAAAAAATCATATTTAGTAGTATTTACACTTTTTATTTCCAACAAATATTTGTTTTATTTACTGGATTAATTGACTTGAACTCCCACTTAAACTGTTCAATTTACCTCAGTATAAGTAGCTCTCATAGATACATAAATGGACTAAAGTTATCTCCAGGGCAATTTTGAATCAGCATGTGGTAATTAATACAAATAGATTCATAATGTCATTGTTGGTATTCCAGAAGACTGCTCTCATTATTGAAAATAAATGGCACCTGAAGTCATGGCCAATAACTAAGTATATTATTGAAAAAGAAATCCTGTAGTCCTCTAAACCGACATCCCTCTAAACCGACATTTTTCACCGGTCCGAGCGATGTCGGTTTAGAAAGAGTTCACTATATAAATGAAAATCAATATCCAATTAAGTCAAATCACACAAATGTTACTTTGTAATGGCTACCATATATATTGGTGGGTTAAAATGGTGAGGTGAGGTGAAATGGGGTTTAACGTCGCACTTAAGAATTTTTCACTCATATGATGACGTGCATGCGTGTGTATGTGTGGCTGCTTGTACTAGCCCAGACTTAAGCTGGTTTTATAGTGCTAGCTCACTGAGATACCATGCCGCAGTTAAGCATGAATACCCCACTCAGACACATTATACTGACTCCAAGCCGACCAGTCCTTGTTGTACCCATTAATGCCAACGTCAGGCCAACAAGTACCATATTTTAACATCTTTTGGTATGAGTTATATTTGCCTCTAAAATATTCATTTATGGTCCGATTTTCAAAAGGAAAAGTGATCTGAAATCAGTAGAATGCCAGCTATCAGACAATGTTATAATAAGTTATCTGTAATATGAAAAAATCACGTGGTATAGCAAATATGACACAGCTAATGATTGAACCCACAACCTTCCGCTTTCCGGGCAGACGCTCTAACTACTACACAATGGAGGCGGTCGGGTAAAAATGGAAATATGCTGGTCATTAAAAGAAACTATTCATTACACATCTACCATACGTCTTCACCATTTCAAAGCATTAAGTATCGTGGAAGCTTATTATAACATTATGTTTTTGCAGAAGAAGTTCTGTTAATATGACACATATGAAAACTGTGCCCACAAAATAAACAGACAAGAACAACAGTGAACTTGACAAAGTTTTAAATACCATATATCATCGTGTATAAGGATTGTGTATGTGCTGTGCCTTTATCCAGGGTCATTTTATAGACAGGGTTTATGAATTTGCAGCAGTGTTGAAGGTTTTCACAGGCGGATCGTCTTATACATGGGGTGGTTTCATAAACAGTGATATGCGGTAAACATGAATTAGCAGCAGTGTTGAAGGTTTTTACAGGCGGATCGTCTTATACATGGGGTGGTTTCATAAACAGAGATATGCGGTAAACATGAATTAGCAGCAGTGTTGAAGGTTTTTACAGGCGGATCGCCTTATACATGGGGTGGTTTCATAAACAGTGATATGCGGTAAACATGAATTAGCAGCAGTGTTGAAGGTTTTTACAGGCGGATCGTCTTATACATGGGGTGGTTTCATAAACAGTGATATGCGGCAAACATAAAACTTTGACATAATTTTTTTTAAACATCTTTATGACATTAGCATGTCACACTTAATCAGACACTATTGTCACTTTCCTAAAATAACATGATCCATAATAACCTCGTTGAAACTATGTATGATTTGCAAAGTAAAGCATTAACAATGAGGATACATGATTATGATAATAAAAAGAAAGTTATCACTTTTTTCATGCAGGACCTGGTTACAGATTAAACTGACACATACCTGTGGGATCATGAGTTCCCATTTCTTTTTCAATTCTGTCAAGGAACTCTTTCTCACCATACTACAAAAGAAAAGAGAAATGAACATATCAACCTGCCAACAACTATCTCCAGCCATTATTGACAAAGTTTGTTTAAGCTACTTCAAATTTATTCCTGTTTTGGGGAGGTACGTCATGGACACTACTGGCAAAGTATATAATGATGCAGAATCATTCAATACTACTGATGTTAATGAATGTCACAATTGATTTATTCTAACCCTATCACTGTTTCTTATTATTTGCTCTGTTTTCTGTATTTATTTCAATCATACATCGAAGAACACGGTTTTGATATGATTGGAACAAATGAAAACAATTGCTTGGTTGCTTAGGTCATCGGCTGTATAATTATTCACAGATGATCATGATTGGTTGAAGATTGTGAGTAAATATTTGATACCACATTGGTACATACACTTACAGTCAATTATTGCACTATGTAGCAAGTCAGTCTTTAGAAGGTACTTGGGCTGCTTATCATCCTTATGATACCATATATCCCAATTTGAAACAATATGATAAAAAATTTCAATGTTGTGCAATCACCATGAAAAGTTAATAGACACTTACAAGGGATAATTGCAATGGTATTAGGTAGTCAATCAGTCACTAATTGAACAATCAGGACATAACTATGAAATATCATAATTCTTCAAATAATATAATACAAATAACATAGTGTTCTGATGGTTGAGAGTTCAAACTTAACATATGTCCATTAGACAGAGACTAGTAACTTCACAAAGGACTATAGTGACATTTCCTTGTCAACAGTCACTTTTATCATCAGGTGCCAAATCTATGCAAGATCTGTTTTTGGAGACAAGCAAAAACAAAACTTAGTTTCTGACCCTGAATTTTCTTATACTGCCATTCATATCTAGCAATATAATAACGCAAAACAAGTATTACCATCTCTTGTTCTTCTTGTTCTTTATCTGACTCATCCATAAACTTATCAAAGTCAATCTTGAGCCAGGGCAGTTTCATTTGCTTTTCAGTGAGACGGGGCCACACCTCCCCTTCCCCAATTTTCTTGATGTGAAATTCCACACCAGTCTCTGTGACCCTGTACTTGCTCTCCTGCACCAAACAAACAATTGTGCAGCATAGGGTGAATGTGAAATCAATGTAAAATCTACTTCTTAAGATCTTAAGATAGTTTGAATAATGAAACTTCATGCTAAATAAAATAACAAGCCAATTGCTTTCTTTTCATTTTCAATCTTGCTGAATATGTTGATAGCGAAAGAGGATTATAAACTAGTGGGAACTGCTATATATTTCAAGAAAGATTTTGGTTACAAAAACAACAGAAGATAGACTGTTGATCAGTCATGTCATTAGGAGTATTCTGTTTCAGCTTCCGTTCCAAGTAAATAGATGTACAACAAAAATACCAAAACTGGATAGGTGGTATTCTGCAGCTTTAACACAAACACTAGCTTCAGAAACTTGTCTGTTATCAGACATTTGCGGCAAACAATTTAAGAATCCGACTGGAAACTGGAATCAATCAATCAATCACTGATGAAAAACATACACACATGCTTACAAAAGTATTGTTAAATCTTAAAACAGAGTAAATTGTCTACCTCAGAATCAACTGGTAGATAAAAATCAATGTCGAAGCCATATTGGTTGTTTCCTTTCAAGCCATTCCCTTGAGCATAAAATGTCAAAGAGTCTTCTCTCAGGTCCACTTCTTCATCCTGAAATTAGTTCACTTTGCCAGATGTACATATCATTGGTATTAGCTGTAATATAGAAATTATCTTGTTTTTCATACTAACAGAATTCTTTTAGTGGGAGCAAAGTAGTCTGGTAATTGTGTAGCATCTTGCATCAAATATCACCACGCCTACAGTCCGTTTGAGTCAGAAACGGACCGATGAATTGCAAATTTTATCATTGTACAAAATTGCCACATAAAAAAGTTCTTTAAGAAACTATCATTAAAATTTTGACACAGTTCACTATTTCTTACGAGGGAGGAGTGCAGAGAAAGGGACAGCCAGGTGTGCGAGAAAGGATGGAGACGGCACAGCACAGGCTAATGAATCAATAACTTGGTGGGCACTTGTGCACGTGCTTCTCTAACACCTGGCTGTCCCTTTCTCTGCACTCCTCCCTCGTAACAAATAGTGAACTGTGTCAAAATTTTAATGATAGTTTCTTAGCCAAGAACTTTTTTGGTGGAGTCCGGAAAATGTTCAAATATAAGAAAGCTGTTGGGTATTAGTAAATGATAAACATGTGTACTATTTATATTTATGTGGCAATTTTGTACAATGATAAAATTTGCAATTCATCGGTCCGTTTCTGACTCAAACGGACTGTAGTGCACCTGATGACTATAATGTGTAACACCTTAGTGTCAGTGTACCGGTAAAGCAAATAACGCTTTGCCTCATCCATGACAGTGTGTTAAAGATGGAAGATTGCTTGCTGAGGCGTAAAACAACATTCATTTAATCAATGACAATGAAAGAGTTCACTATCTCCTGCTCATCTGACGTTATCTGATCAGATGCAGTGAAGGCGTACCCTATCACCTTGTAGGAGACAGACAGAACAAAAACTGACAAAGAGACGAGAAATAAGGTATACGTAGTTAGACTCTAAGATATGAGGACTATCGAATATCCGGACAAAAATAAAGGTTGCCGGTATGTATAAATTGTAGCAGACGATGTGTGTTCGCGTGATCGAGAGTAAAGAAATCGAAGTATCAGATAAAAAACATTAGGTCAAACTGAATTGCTACGAATAATACACTATGTGTAGTTCGTGTTGGTACTTTTGCACACCTCAATGTCTCTAAGGTCGATCTTGAGGGAAATAAAATCTTTTCCCTGCCCCCAGTACACAAATGGACTGAGAACCTCCGCCATTGTTGTAGAGTCGCAGTAAAGAACCAGTACTTTTGTTTGACTGCGCGTCCGTTCACTTGACAAGACAGAGGCTCAGTCTGAGAAAATTGTGACTCAGTCGAAATTGTAGTAATTATTTAAGACGTAACTACGTTTATAAATTAAGTTATATTATTTTGTAGCAATTGTTTCAGCACTTTTCTCTTTAACTATTAAGACACTACAATAATGTTTTTTTTATCAAACAGTTATCACTAAAACTGTTTTCCGCTGGACTTGTACAAAGGCTCCTGGCAGAGAAGCTGTCAGCTTGAGCTTGCAATAGCGATTCCTTTACGTCAGTGTGGGGAGATCTGTCAGCGTAGCAGATGATAAACATCGAATCGGCGAGGTGGAAGATCTGTCGTCAAACTTCATTTAGGAAACTTTCTGCGAAAATGTTGTGATTATTTACTCTCTGCGTCCTTTGTTGGAGCATGGAATGCTCTTCTTACTGCAGAGACGATGAGGAAATTACCAAATCGGCCAAGTAACAGTAAAACATGGAATTTAAACAGGACCCGTTCGAAGACAGCTATGAAATAGGCGAGGAAATAGGAAGGTAAGAAGCGCCAATCGGCCTCATGGACTATATATCATTATCAACTCTTTATTATTCATTTCTTTGGTGGACGAGCAAGTTTTCTAGTCAGCTGAATTTGGTGTCTATTAATTGATTAATTGGAGTTTTAAAAAAAAAAAGCAAAAACGTGCTCGCTACTTTCGCACATGACTTGTTGAATGGATTCCTTTGCAATGCTGTGATTTGGAAATAGGCATATCTGCGCTTGTGTTCTTAGGCTGCTGGGCTATGGGAAAGATGCACCATGCACGCTACTTGATTGTTGCCTCACACCTGTGCTGTTATCCCATTGTATACCCATGGCTATGCAATGATTGAAAACACTGAAATTGTTCATTGATTTATTGATTTGACATTTCTAGATCTGGTGAAGTTCGTATGGGCTAATATAATGTGATTTGTCGAGAGGACATCATTTCTCAATTCGTTTGAAATTTAATAATATTTTAATATCTTTGAAATATGTTTCATGTGTCAGTTGATATGAAGTTGTTTCCAAGTATAGGAACATTTATAATAAAACATAGGCAACACCTAAGCAATTCACAAGGACATATATTCATGCAAGTTAATCAGAGGCACTATCCTCAAAGTAATGTTAGTGCTAATAGAACTGCTATGTCACCTATGTGTATGATTTACAATTGATTTAGTGCAAACATTCCTCTGAATAATGGTCAGTATTGCATTAATATTGGTTTGGTATTGTATAAACAGAATGTCTCAAATGACCTGTAAAAGAAACTTGTATATATTAAAAAATGGTATTGGTATATATGTTATAGTGAATCATACTTCAGCCATCACATCATTAACCTTTCTCTGGATTTGCGCCCCACACCCTACTTATGTTTGGATTAGTCTAATTATACAGTATCAGTGAAAAACAAGTACCCAGATTCTTCATACAATAGTAGTTAAATAACACATCTTGTAACTAACAATTTGTGTCATAATACTTCAGCATTATATCCCTCAGACACAATTTTGTAGCAAGATATACTAATTTTCTCTTGTAATGAAGTTATGTTCTAAAGCCATGAAAGACCTCCTAAAGATGTTATGTTACGGTGTCATATGATTTTCATACCATCGCAACAGATAGATATGAAATATGTTGGCTCCATAATATTTTCTCGTCTTTTGAAAACTCACTTTGGTGTCCTTTTTTTATTTAGACCCACAGTTGGTGTTTAATATAGATATATGAAATCATGTTTTCTGTGAAGAAATGAACATGGTGCTATGTAGGCAGTCTGATACTGAAAAAATGATGAGGTGCTTATTTCTCTGAGTGATTAAATATGTTTCATAATGATGTGTTTAGGATAGTGTTAAAGATGTGGTTCTTAAATTATAATTTAAAAAAGCACTTTTTATCTTTTCTATCAGCAAAGAGTGACAGCTTAAATTTTTTTCCTCCTATATGCAAGAAATGAAGTCATTGCCAAAGGTGAGGTGTGGTGAAATTGGGTTTAACATCGTGCTTGAGAATATTTCGCTCATATGACGACATGCATGCGTGTGTATGTGTATATTCGGCTGCTTGTACTAGCCCAGACTTAAGCTGGTTTTATAGTGCTAGCTCACTGAGATACCATGCCACAGTGAAGCATGAATACCCCACTCAGACACATTATACTGACTCCGAGCCGACCAGTCCTTGTTGTACCCATTAATGCAGAGCGCCAGGCAAGGACCAACAAGTACCATATTTTAACGTGTTTTGGTATGACAGCGGTCGGGGCTCGAACCAGCGACCTTCTGCTCTCCGGGGGGGCGCTCTAACCACTACACCACGGTGGCGGTTCATTGACAAAGAATCAAATGAATAAACACATACTGGTAATGTTATTCTTGCTAACTCTGTCAACATATGCCACTATTAGAATAAAATAGTTTGGAAAGTTTATATGTCTCTGATCACATAGAAAAGAATAACAAAAAATGTTTTAATGTTTTAATTCCAATCACGTATCCAATTCATGTATATGAGGTTCCATCTTTGCCCATTCCTTGAGGTTTTGCTTCTGTAAGCATTCCGTCATCTATGGGTTTTTACCTCATGTATCCTGCTTGTAGGTAGTGCTCTCTGCATTCTCTGCAAGCACTGTGATTAGGCCAATGCTATGCAAGTCTGAGACAGCTGTTATATTGTACATCTGTACGGACTATGAGTCTCCTCTCTGGCACAGGTAATTAGGAACAGAATGTTTAGAAGAGAAGCTAGTATGTAGTAGCACCTGGAAAGCCCAGATAAGATTCCATGATCACAGACTTTTTTCTGCAGAAAGTCATGAACAAATTTGAAGCTTTGGGGAACAATTCTTCATGCAACACCTCTTGTGCAATGTTTGTTAAGCTAAGTGTGTACCTTTAAGTTATTTACATTTCAGGTTAGCTTGATTTATTATAATGATTATTTATGTACAGGGTTCAGAATACCCCAGACCAATGTCAATGACTCATTACCTTTAGGATGTACACATCTTTACTTTCTCACATTGACAGTGTCTAAACTGGCAGTTGTTGAGAAGAGGTTGATTATTGTATTTCAAATTCTTTGCGATAACTTTCTTAAATCTGCTCATGCACTTGTCTTATAGAGACTTTGTTAATCACTAAAACTAAGAGTGATTTTGCTGGACACAAATGACTTCAGGAGGGTGTCATAATTTTTCAAATTCTACATCATAACCAAATTTGTATAAATAAATATCTTGAGAACATAGTGGATCAACAGTCAGTGTCATAGAAAATAAACCTACCTGGTATGTGGAAATCTTAGAATGTTGTTACAATGCCTTAATTTCATGCCACCTAAAAATCATGTGTCATTTGTGGTTAATGAACTAATATGCAACAATTTGTAAGATTATACATTACTGGTATATGATATAGCCCATTTTCATCCTGTTATCACCATATGGTTTTGTTATTCCCTCACAGTAATGATACATTGCCAGCATTGCTGACCTTGACTCAGTTTTGACAAGTATCTTGGAATGCCCTACCTACCTATAGTCCTGTAGTGGTTCTTTGTCAGCTAGAGTGCATCTTACTGCATGCCATGATGGTTCTGAGCTGGATCTGATAGCTTGTCACAGCAGAGACACAATGGAAATGAGTTGGAGAAGTAACAAGTGTATATGAAGTGCATCCAGATAGAAGCACATGTACTGGAGTTCCTTGGAACCGATTTTGTAATTCTTGGCCACAAATTGACCACATCATGTTTGCACCCCTATGGATATTTTGCCCAAAAAACATTTATAGATCTTCCTAGTGTTGACAGAAATATGGCTAGTGAGTTCCTGGAAGTGAATGCCAGAAAGCCCTGACTTTTGGTAGTGGCATGTATGGCAATGAGCAAGTTGTAAATGATTCTTATGAGGTCTCTTCTTTCACAACTACCAATTCCACACAAAATGCTACTACTACCGGTAGTTTCACCACTTCAGTGGTCAAAAATACCAACTTGAAATTGTTTGGAATTTGTCCAAGATTTGATAGTGATAGTTTGATAAATAATGCAAAGGTCCTGTACCACAATGTTCAACACTGGGTAAGAAACTAGGGTTAGAGGATATAACATAACACACTGGACATGCATGAAAGGTTATTGGAAATTGGTAGCAAATTGACTGTATTATCCACATACTGAAATCTTAATTGTTCCCAGAGTTTGGTTGCTGTGTATATAACAATTTGCTTGCAGGGAATCCCAATTAATATTAAAATGCTGAAGTCTCTGGGTTGTTGGGAGTTACCAGTCGATGATGGAAGACTTGACCATCTTCTCTGGAAGCCTGATTGTGGCGTGCCATGCAGATACAAACAAATTACACTGTATTTAAATATGCAAGAACCTCCACAATGTTAGAAAGAAGCCTTGCTGATTTAAGGAATCTTAACTGTGACTTTAGGAATCACAGCAGTGGTTTGTATGATTTGAAGCAAGATTTGTTGACATGATAAGCTTAGGCAGGAGTATTTCAATAATTTGTAGCATCTTGAACTTTTACAATTTGTAAGTTCTCATACCTCCTGATGCCATGTTCCTGGTGTAAACTGTGGCTGCACTACACAGGTTAGCAGTAATTTCAATTATGCCCAAAACAGTTCTTCATACAGCTACCTTCTGGTGTCCCCTGTCGTGATATTGCTGGAATATTGCTAAAAGCGGCGGCGTAAAACTAACTCACTCACTCACTCATACAGCTGACTTGTTTTTCTGGAGGAATTTTAACAGATTTTAGTTTTTCATTCATTATTTTGAATAAGTAAAACATCTTTACATGTTATTAGTCCCACAAAAGTGATAGTCGTTTCAGTCTAACTACGTTGGTACCTTTAGGTTTAAGTAAGTGATTTCATTGCAAAAGGCCCAAACATTGTGTGAAG